AAATCAGAAGATGGAAGGAGTGTGGGTCCCTCACTCACTAGGAGAAAGAGAGCCGCCAGCAACCCAAAACATTTACATAGGAAAGAAAGAAATAACTATTGTGTTAAAACATTGATTTGGGGGGCTTTGCTTGTTAAGGCATGTAATGTAACAACACACCATTTTTCCATCGGTATTATTACAAAAGTAAAGAAATCTAGGCAGCATGGGAGGTATTTACGGCAATATTTACTAAATACCAAGTCCATCCATAAAACAGTCACATTTTATGTAAATTTGCTTTAATCTGGATTCTTCCAGACTTGCCCACTAAGCTAGGGAGACTTTTAGCATGAGAAACCTGTTCAACTCTACACAGCATGCAAACCCTATGTCCCCCAGGTTAATTTTAAAGAAAAGGATGTTTTCTGAGGTTGTGTTGTTTTTCCTTTCCCTCTTGAAACAAAATTCACTCTGAAATGCCTTTTTTTTTGTATTTTCAAATCTTATTCCAAACTGATTTCCATAGTCCAAAAGAGAAAAATTTCTCAATTTTCCTCCCAAGACAGAGCACCATAATTCTACTTTATACTGTCAGCAGAGTTGATTCCTTATTATATGCAAGTTACACACACATACATAGATCCCTCCTTGTTTTACATTCCAAACAGCTCAAACGTGTTCTGAAAAATACAACTCTTCCTGAGGAAGAGAAGCCCTCCTTTTTCCGACTGTTAAGGCTGCCACATCCATATACCACAGCATGGAACGCAAGACTAGGATTCAGGGCATATTTGCATATCAACAAGCCAGGACTCTGGATCCTGAGGTTCTGCCCTTCATGCTGCAGCTCCCTCGCTGTGAACTGTCAGGTGCATTACCACATGCCCATGCCCAGACTGGAAGGGCCTGAATAATGACTAGAATAATGCTGCCTTCCTCATCAGGGGGCTCCACAGCTCAGTCAATGTTTACAGGATGCTTCCTGGGGCCTATTTAGCATGCTGCAGGCCAGCAAGGCAGAAAGCACCATCAGCTGACAACAACAAAACATATATGTAAGCAGTGATGGGCACCGTCAACTCTGGGTCTGTTGTTTACATGCCAGTCCTGCAGAAAAGGTACGGGTTGCTTTTTCTTTTCATCTAATACCCTTAAGAGATTGATTCAAACTTAAGTTAAGTAAGAAAATGTCAGAGTTCAACCGGTTTGTATGCATGCTGAGATGATGGGCTTTTTTTCTTTATAGTGCTCTGTCTTTTTTGAAATTTTCCACATGGAACACATATTATATTTATCATTAAAAATAGGAAAATGTAAATATGTATACTGTAAAAGACGTTTAAATAAGAGAGTGAGAGGCTAACTATGATAAACGGACTTATTAGTCCCAATTTTTCCCTCCCCTCTAGTTAGTTGCATTCTACATCTGTATCCTTGCCAAGGTGTCAAGGTGGGTGGAGCATGCTTCTACCCCTTGACTCTGGGCTTGACCATATGACTTGCTTTGGCCAATAGAAAATTAGCAGCTATGATGCCAGCTTTAAACATGCCTGTGCAGGAGGATGTGCACCCGCATGCTCCTGTCTTTTAGCAGGAGAACGTGATGTCCAAGGAAATCAGACACGGAGCAGAGCTGAACCCAAACTGCAATCTAGAACCAATCCCAGCAGAACTCAGGCTAAATCACCCCAAACCCAGCTGACCTGCAGCCACATGAGCAAAAAACACTTATTGTTGTCTACCACTGAAATTCTGTGGTTATATAGCATTAATGTCACCAACTGATGCACTACCAAGTGCCACACAAAAAAATCAGGAAGAAAAAGTGTGTCATGGACTGAATTGCGGGCTGGAAAAAGGCCGTAGCATTCCCCACATGCCCATTTATAACGGGAACCCAGTCAACCATCATCCAGTTTGAGAAAACTCTTTAGCAGGCAGAGATTGTTTCCCCTTCTCTTATGAAATATAAAATTATTTCACTACAATTACAGTCAGTCCTATGAAGCAAGAGCTACTACATGACCATTCAATAATGGAATTTCACATAAAAAATGTAGTGAGGCTCTTTCAATGTTAAAACATATTATTTTACAACACGGTTTTAAATGTTTACGATTACTTTCCATTTTATGTGTATACCATATTATGGTTAACCAATATTCTTTTGCTAGTTATGTAGATGATATGCATTTTTTATTATTATAAATGGTGCTGCTCTAAATATAACTAGAGTTCATTTTCTGCATATATTCATGACTATTTTCCCGGGAATGAAATCTGAGAATTAGATTTGCTGGGTTAACAAATGTATAAATTTTAAGGTTTTTAATGTGCATTAATTGCCTAGTTTTAATTTACTTTTGCAAATAAGGGAGTAGGAGACCTACAGATTGAGTCAGCCCCAGATTCCAACTGAGCAAACATTTTCCCACCTAGGATTCACTCCAATTAATCCTGCTGGAATTTACTGAAAACCTCGTGAGTGTTTACTGTGCTAAGAACAGAGTGATGCTTACAAGCATGGACCCCGGATCCACAATGCCTGGATTCAAACCTTGATCTTGTGCAATTTACTCAACTGGTTTGGGCCTCAGTGTTGTCATCTATAAAAGGGGGATAGGAGTTCCTCCCTCATAAATGCATAGAGATGTAGTAAGGATTAAGTAAATCAATACATGTAACCTCCTAAGAACAGTGCCTTCTACATAGTTAAGTTCTTGATGTTAGCTGTCAATGTTATTAGGGATAGTAGATGAAAAGATCACAGATCTTCCTCTCAGAGAGTTAAGAGTTTAAGGAAACTTATCATAACTTAGGATAATTAGGTGGCAAAATTTTCAAACTGTGAACTAGTCCTCCACAAAGTCTTTGTTCTAAGGAGCCAGTAGAAAACAGCCAAAGAGAAGGTCCTTCGATTAAAACAAAGTTACGCAATAGGAAGGTAGCTGGTCTTTAAGTAACAGAATATATCAGGGACACATTTTTTATGGCAAAATCAGTTTGACTTGATTTAAGTAGGGTATGTCCCAAGGTAAGATCTTATGTGATTATTAATAGTTGCCTAAAACACGTGGAAACTATGTTTCTTAAAGATCAGAGATGACGCTTCCTTTCCCCTGCTCACACCTGACACTAGCACGGACTCCAAGGAGAAATTCAGTGGATGAGGATTCCACACTGATGTTCACAAGCCCAAGTTCTCTAGCAACTGCAAATACCCCAAATTCAATTAGTTATACACAGAATGCTAGTATCCACCCATCCCTGGGCTAAATGCTTTGCATACATTATTTCATTAATGTATTGATGACCAATTAAGAATGTTTTCTTTATATTCCAATAAAACTTTCAAACAGCCCTAGCCGACTTGGCTCAGTGGATAGAGCATCGGCCTGTGGACTGAAGGGTCCCAGGTTCGATTCTGGCCAAGGGCACATGCCTGGGTTGCGGGCTCCATCCCCAGTGTGGGGTGTGCAGGAGGCAGCCAATCAATGATTCTCTCTTATCATTGATGTTTCTATCTCTCTCCTTTTCCCTTCCTCTCTGAAGTCAATAAAGAAATATATTTTTAAAAAAACTTTCAAACAACTATGTTGATAAACAGGCTGATATCCAATGCATTTAAGTTCTTCCAAATACTATTGAATATTTTTTTTAAAATTCTCTGACCAAAGACTTAATTACCTAAAGTAATTATATAGCAAGCTAAATTACATAAGTATGGAATTGCTAGAGCTGCTTAAATTATGAAATGATAATCAAGTCCAGCTTTTCCCCCCCTTAAAGCTAAAGACAATTTCATGTTTCAGGCCATATGTCTGCATCAAGAGCTATGCCCTTGCATTATCTTAAAGCTTTAAATAAACTGCTTTAGCAAAAATTGGAAAGAACCATTCCTGCCCCTCCTATTGGTAACAAAAAAAGTTTAAGCAAAGTAAGTAAATTTCTTAAGTGAAATTAATAAGCATAGGGATGAATGAGCCTTTTAACTTTTAAGATTTAATTTCCCACCCATAAAATAAGGATTAGACCAGTAATCTTTAGTATCTAACCTTTAGTGATTTAAAGTTAAGTTTAATAACATGAAATTTACATGATGAGTTCGTTATTAAAAACCCAAGTTATATTAATTTGGCTATCTTTCAAGTCAATAAAAGTGTCTTGTGGATTCTCTAGATTTGAAAATTTTAATTAATTTAATTTTAACAACATGATTGAAAAACAAGTGAAAGATTTGAAAAGACACTTCACAAAAGAAGATATATGAAGTCCAATAAGCATATGGAAAGATGTTTGACCACATTTAGTTGTCAAGAAAATATAAATTAAGACCACAATGTGATATGACTATCTACCCATTAAAATGGCTAAAATTCAAAAAGACTGGCCACACCACAGGTTGGCAAGAATGCTGAGCAATTAGATCACTTGCCTGTTGTTGTCGGGGATGTAAAATGTCACAGTTTTGGAAGCAGTTTGGCAGTTCCTTATACAGCTCAACATACACCACTGACATTCACAACGTGGATGAATCTTAAAAACATTATACTGAGCCCATGAAGCCAGGGACAAAAGAGTATGGCCTGTGTGACTCCATCCATATGAAATTCTTAAGCTACTGTAAATCTAATTTATAGTGACAGAACGCACAGCTATGGTTGCCTGGGGTCAAGGATTGGAGGGTAGGGGGAGGGAATGACTAGGAAGGGGCACAGAGAATATTTCTTGTCTGGGTTTTGGTGGTGGTCTGGCATATAAATTCACCAGAACCCACCCACACATCCAGTGAAAATGAGTTTATATTACTGCATGTAAATTATATTTCAGTAAAGCTTACTAATAAGATCCTCAATTTAACTGCTCTCTGGTTTGGACTAGATTTTACCACATGGTCTGCAGAGAGGCAAGAGCATTCTTAAGCAGCCTGATGTTTGCACCTGGAACTCCATGGGCACCGTTCAGGACCCTCCAGGGTATAAACAAAATCCCTCCTACACATATCACTGGTGACTCACCTGTCAGCGCACCTCCCAGGCTCCCCCGCCGCAGCTGTCGTCCATCCTCGCTCAGCTGGCTTTTGAACTTCAGGGACTTTCCAGGGCCCGAAGCCAGGTCCGGGTTGCTGCACTTCCGACATGGCATGGGTGGTGGGGACAGTATGTGGTCAAGCTGCAGAGAGAAGGAAAGGGCATCACTCGCTGGGGACGCTCCCAACACAACCAGAATGAGAGACCAACCAGGCACACTTTCCTCCTTCCTTTTCCTTCTCTAAGTCCTTCCTTCCTGGCCCTGTTTTTAATGTGGCCAGTTGAGAGCATTCAGGATTTCACTGTGTGTCTTCCATCTGACAGAGTCTGGCTGGCTCAAAACCTTAATAGCAGGGCTTTTCAAGCAGTGGGTCACAAAGCATTCGTGCAGCAATTCTCAACCTTATTCAACTCATGACACATATACTAATTACTAAATTTCTGTGGCACACACACACACAAAAATTATTTTTTGCCGATCTGATTTTTAAAAAAGGTATAATTTTGATTCATTCACACCAGACGGCTATTGTGTTGGCTGCTGTGATTTCTTTTTATTTGACAATCTAAGGGGAAAGAGGTCAGTGCCCCTGACTAAATAGCCACTGCACACTGGTTGAAAATTGCTGCCTTAGTGGATCATGAAAGCAAGTTTAGTAGATTGTGATCAGTATTTTTAACACAATAGAACAGAAATTATCAAAATCCAGTGAAGGAAGGGGAAGTTTTGTTTCATGACATTTTTTTCTTAAGTTACCCATGTATATGTGTGTGTCCTGAGTCACTATGTAAAATCTGTATCTTTCTGTGGGCCTTGATCCCCCCGCCCCCACCAAAATAAAGAATATTGCTCTACAGAGAATCAACAGATTACTAATTTAGTTGTTCCCACAAAAATGCACAAGCTTTTGATGCTCATAGACATAGGGGAGGGAAATTTCTAGCACCACAGCCCATAATGGAAATCAATACATCCCTGTATCACTTTATTGCTTTTAAAAGAAAACCTGTCACAAGAGTCAGAGAAACCAACATCCCTTCAAGAGACAGCTTTCTGCAAGCGTCTCCTGTGTCACAACACTTACTTCAAGATCTGTCCTGCTTTTATAAGAAAACCTTTCACAGGTGAATAGGGCCGTATCTCCTTAAATGATCACCTTCCAGTAAGCCTATGTGCATATATATGTGTCTAGGCAGTTACTAAGGACAGAAATATTCATGGGCACATACTATATATCCAGATAGTTATTAAGAAATTTAAAGGAAGTGCAAAAGATATTCATGGAAATTTAAATGGCCACAGAAGAGGGCCAACTTTGTAGCAATTTAAAAACAGAAAAGGACTGGGTAACAGCACTCAAGACCAGGCATTTTTAGGGGTGTTTGATTGTGATATGTTTTGTTTTCATGATAGAGATAGTCATCTGGTTATAACTGTCTGCATTGTTTTCGATTGATATTATCACGGATGTATTTATTGGAGGAATAAATTCAGGAATAAAGTCATCCATTTGCCTGTCTATGCACCGCAGCACATTCAAATCCATGGCACACAAAGAAATTTGACCCTGCCTATGAGTGACTCCTCCCAAGCTAGTTGAGATGGAAGAGACCGTATTGGATCAGCTATTACCAGATGTCAACTCTCCCTCAAGCTCCACTGGAACCGCTGGATTTCAAGCACTTGTCAGTAAGTACAATCTCGAATTCACTGCAAGTCAGTATTTTACTGTATTTCATCGCCACTTGGTATTTTGTTGAGAGGTATCCAGAAAGCTAGCAGTGTAGCCACTTCAGGATCAAGCCATATCAGGGCAAAGGGATTCCAGGTTGCACTTTTGGAAGGTACTGGTTTGAGGCTGCTGTTCACTGCATGAAGCGTCCTCCAAGAAGGAATTTCTATCTAGTCTTACACATTTTTGCCCCTAGGCCCCCTGGACAATGAATTGTAACAAGGGAACCCTGGACAGTGATATCAGCTACTAGAAAGAGTAGAGCCCAGTCAGTGGTCCAGACATAGCAGGTCATTACACAATGCAGAGGTTCTTTTTGTCTCCTTCTTGGCTCCATTTATATCCTTACCCCAATTTTTTCAAACTATCCATTTTTTTTAATTTCAGAAGAACTTTTGCAACAATAGAAAAGTTATAAGAGTAATACAATGAACACCCATAACTGTGTCCCAAGCACACAGTTAGATGCAGACATTGTAGATCTTCACTTCTAGATACTTAATCATGCCTCTTCTAAGAACAAGGATGTGCTCTTAAATGCTCCCTCCCTATACTCTATGCCTCAAATATTTTATCAAAGTAAAGTATAAATACTAGGAAAAATATAAGATTATATCAGATACACTTAATATTAAAAATGTGCTCTTACATGTAGAAAGAAAACTTGCAGCCACAAGGTGGCAATGTGCTATAGACATTCAGCAAAATGTTCCATAATAGCCACTCACCCTGTAAATGCATCAAGAACCCCTCAGAGCAATCAAACACGTTAAGGTCCATTCTACTTAGTTATTTTCTCTTAATTACTAGTTGGAGCAGCATAAAATACAAATATTTATTGTTTAAGGTTCATCAACTTCTGTCACATATTTTTCACCTGACGTTAAAATTTTCAGCTTGCAGAATTACAATGAATGATTCTAGGGAAGATTGTTATATCACAAATTAACAGTGGTGGAAAAACCAGCAGAGGGAAAAAAAGATAATTCCTAACTAGGAATTATGAGCCTTCCTTACATATTTCCAAAAGAAGCCATAAAAAATATGAAACACATGTAGAAAGAAGAGAAAGAGATCAAGGAGAAAATGTAGAAAAATAAAAAAGAAAATGTTTGCTCACATATATGTTGCCAAAAACTATTAATAAGCCAGCGTTTTTCATCAGAATCGCAACCCCAAGAGTGGAGTAGAGTTTTAAATCTGGAAAAACTGAGGCAGTGACCTGTGTGGGCTGCCAATGTTCCAAACACAATACAAGTAAAAAAAAACTATAAATATAGTGCAATGTTCCAGGATCCACTCCTTCTTCACATCCAATTCCTCTCCCAACAGGGATCTCTCTAAATAGATCATTTTTCCAAATTTGCCGCGTTGTCACTGGCTCTGCTTTTCTTTCTACAGTTAGTCAAAGCTTCTCACAATGGTCTACTGCAGCCCTGCAATTTATTTTTCATTCTTTGTCCTGATTCAAACACTCAGGATCCCTCTAAAAACGTTCCATCACACCCTAGAGCTTTTAGGTTACATCAAACCTATCACTTTACACACTGCTCTTTAAATGATTTTCGTTTAATCTTCTTCAACTTTTCCAAAGTCTTCATGCTACAAGGAGCTCAACTATAAAGACAGAGGTTGTCTTTGAATTTTCCCTGATGTTCAAGGACATCCAAGCCTGAGATGGTCATTCTTGCTTCAAACACTTCTAATTCCCCACACTAAGCAGACAATGGACTCCAAGGAGCCAGACCGACTCCTTGGTCGTGTGCTTCCCTAGCAGGCTTCGAGAGCCACAAAGTATCCTGGATTGGCGTGCATTCTCCAGAAATGGGTCCTTACCTCACTCGCCAATCGCAAATATTGCTTCGTGGTGTGCTAGATTTGCTCCTAACTTCCTATGTCAGTTTCCTGTAGTTCCAAGAGCCACAAAACCACTGGAAGAGGCATATTAATCCTACCAGACCTGAGGCCCTGAACCTAACTGTCCCCTATACCTGGGCTCCTGAGCATTAAAGAGAAAAAACCAACATGATATAGAAAAATGTTAGTTACATGCAAACAAGTGGTTAGAATAAGATGGAACTTGGAGACATTGTAGAAAATAGGTCTACCTTTCATCTACCTTTCATCTAGCGCCAATATTCCACCTTTGTGTGGAAATTACCGAAAAATCGGTACAGCGGTCTGGTAGGGTTAATAAATTTAGAAGTCAGACAGCTAGGGACCTAACATATCACTTACATGTGAGTGTTACACAATTGCTCTTGCTAGCCATTTATCACAGGAAACATATAAGCATCTTAGAGAATGAAAGGTGCACAGCTACTCTAAGTCTAACACAGGTTTGGGGAAGGTTTCTAAAATTATCAGTTCTATAGAAATAATAATCACCAACATTCAATGTCCACAGTTTTCTACATGTATCATCTCCACCCACTGTCTTCTGTTTTACAAAGTATCAGGCTAGAAAAAAAAAAAACCTGAAGAATTCACTGCGATTACACTGTGGCTTCTGCCATCAGTGAAGATAAATGAAAAGCAAAGGTACATGGTTCACGAGATTGGACCTTATTTTTGTTGAGTGTCTCTACCATCACCATCACCACCATCTCCAAACACGGACCAGGGGGTTTCTTATTCTATGGCTATTCCCTAGTAAAAGGCACATAGTAATTTTCTTCTTAAAAGGCATGTAGTAATTTTCAATGACTATTGAACCTGCAGCCTTCTTAACTGACAACTTCTCCAACCTCATCTCCAGACACGTTCATGCCCAAGTACATGAGTTCTCTAATTTATCGTTTCTAAATATTAACAACGTTGATATGAGCATAAACATATTTTTTAATTTAACTTTTTTCAGAATTTCAGTTTGCATTCAATATTATTTTGAATTAGTCTCAGGGGTACAGCATAGTGGTTAGACAATCATATACTTTACAAAGGGATCCCCCGATACCTCCAGTACCCAACTGGCACCATACATAGTTATTACAAAATTATTGACTTTATTTCCTAGACTGTACTTTACATCCCTGTGACTATTCTGTAACTACCAATTTGTACTTCTCAATCCCTTCACCTTTTTCACCCAGTCCCCCAACCACCCCCCTTCCTTTCCTTCCCTCTGGCAAGCTTCTCCAATTTCAATTAATGGGAGCTCCTTTTTTCTAGCTACACGCACCACAAACCTTACAGTTCTTGGAAACTTCTCTTCTTACTCCATATCCAATCAGCAAATCCTCTAACTCAACCTCCAAAATATATCCAGAATCCAATCACTTCTTGCTACCACTCTGTCCTGCCATCAGGGTATCTCTCTTGCAATAGCTTCCACCTAGCCTCAGCACAGCAGCCAATGCCCTTGGAGAGCACCAGGCAGGGGTTCCAAATCCTCTGCAGGAGTCCTCCA